CATTTGAACATAAAAACCACGATTCTACGTAACACTTTATAATAAAACAGCAGATTCGTTTTAAACATTTATCTTCGCGTTGAGTAATTTTAAACTGATGTAGGAATAAAAATAGTTTTAAACGATACAATGATTTGGCTATCCAACGTGCGAGATGACAAGCACCTGGTGTTTTAAAGTGTATATCTTTAGGTGGCACACCACCTAAAAATATTATTATTAGTTCGAGAAATTCTTTATAATCATCTCTAGGTAGTTCTTCTTCGAGTTTAATTTTACAAAATTGTATCATCTCATCAGCAATTCCCATTAAAATATTTTTTACATGTTCATCAGTANTGTATCATCTCATCAGCAATTCCCATTAAAATATTTTTTACATGTTCATCAGTAGTCCAAATTAAATAAGAATTTTTATCAATATTTGGTCATTTTTTTTTTTAAATTTTTAAACAAGGTAATTTCAGGTTCTGTACTTGTTGCTAATTTTACTTCAGTAAATATGCCTTGCAAAACTATTTCGTAAACATGGTGCCTACATGCTAAGAATAAAATATCTATCAAATTTTTGTTTTAGGAGGTGGCATGCGCCATTTAATCGGCTAGTATTGCTCGCAGTTGTGTCAAATACAGAAGTAACGATTTTATTTAAAATAGACTATTCCTCTAAAGTTTCATAAATAGCAGAAGTTATTTCAATTCCTGTACCTGGATCTATCTGAGGAACTCCGAGCAATTGACTAACATTGTGTGCTATAATAATTATAGGAAGTCGATCAACTTTAGATGTTCCAGTTATATCTGGTAGTAATTTAGAATCCCAGTGGAGTATTAATGATTTTGTGTTTAAATGATCAACTTTGCACTTTAAATCTTGAAAAATATATTTACGAAATTTTTTTCTAGCAGATTTTATTGACGTTTTGTTAATAACATACACACTTGGATCGACGGAAATAGTATCTAAAACTGCTGTTAGTATGTGAACGCAATCTCTGTCGCCACTTTGAAAGGTTACAAATATAAGAAAATCAAACTAATTGGCCGCAACGAAAAATTTGTAACTTTCATGGCGTTTTACAAAATTATAAGAAAAGGGTCGCCAACCTACTGGGCGTGACAGTGTATTGTCGGACCACAGTAGGATTTAAAAAAAATGAACTTTTGTATATTAAAACAATTAGAAAAAATATATAATTAATAAATATTAAAGTTGATGTCCGTTGAGTCGTTGATAGTAGATGTACACCAAAACCTCNTTGAGTCGTTGATAGTAGATGTACACCAAAACCTCTTGACAGTTGTCACATAACCATATCAATGAGGGATGACCTTATACAAGGCCGTTGCCCGTACCTTATAAACTAGGGGAGTTGATTTTTGAAAGGAGAAAAAAAAAATACATTGAGTCCATTGAAGATGGAACACGAAAAAAAAGAAAAATTTGATGGTTAAGTTAAATTAAGGGGACTTTATTAAGAAAAAAAAAAAACAAAAAAAAATTAAATTAACACGAGGCAAAAAACCGAATGGTCAAAAAACCTCGTCTACAAATTAAAGGGGACAAAGAAAGAAAAAAAAATACTAGTTACACCTACACTTTTATTGTTAGAGAATACGATGAACGCCTTCGGGTACCCGCCGGCTATTAATCGCAGCATTGCCGTTAAGCACGGCGGGTATACGTCCCAAGTAAGCGACTAGTTTTAGGCAGTTAGACTTAGCTTGCAAGACGTTGGGACACCCCGGAATAAAATGCACTACGTTACCCCATTGTACCAATAATATATACATATCACCCATAAAGTATATTATAAAACCTATTAAAAAAATCACAAAAAAATATGGATATAACATGACAGGTGGTCTTGTACACGCCTGCCATGTTGCGGGACCTAAATAAAAAAAATATAGGGGCACCTACACAAAAAAAACTATATAAAAAAATTCGCCACACGTGCTTATGGCACGGCGCACTAAAAAAAAAACTGGCTCAAAAACATTAAATAAACATTATACATTACCCGCTCCGAAGGGCTAAAGAAACAGGAGGCAGGTTTAACCGACGCCGTGATAAACAAAAATTACATTTTTACATAGCGGGCGCTCACGAGAAAAACAAAATTATATTATAAGAAACNACTCGCGAGAAAAACAAAATTATATTATAAGAAACACAAAAGTTGCAGCGTACACAATTAAATCTACCGCTACGGACGGGAAATAGTACGACCAGTTCCGACTATGGCTATTCCCCGACAAAACGTCCGGCGTTTGACCCGGCGGTCCGTTGGCGACAACACGGCTAGGCTTTAGAGTAGGGGTCAAAAAAAAACTAAATACCCAGTGCCGGAAATTATTAAGAACAATTTAAATCATAAGGAGACAATGTATGCGGTGAGCAGTGCAAATGACGTTCAAGATTGGAAAGGAGCGGGGTGAATGTACACACAAATGCCGTCCATGAACCGGTCCGAAGTAGTACACAGCTGACTATCTCNAAACCGGTCTGAAGTAGTACACAGCTGACTATCTCGCACGCGCATAAACAAATCCTAACACCTTATCGTGATTATTTAACTGACAAACGCCGTCGCAGTCCGCATTCGGCTCAACACAAATATATATATATATACAAATAAATAAAAAAATAAATAGATACTTTTGTCACGTTACAACTTTACACTTGTCAAGTACAGCCGCTAAACGCTTAGACATTATTTCTTTCCTAGCTCTTTTTTTTTTCATCAGAATCAGGTAAAATTTTTTCTTGGGTGTTCGATGTACTAGGAAGACAAGGATTTTGTAATTCTGACAGGTCATCAGAGTTTGAGGAATCTGACAAAGATGAATCAATTTTGGAACAATAAACTAAAATAAAAGTGATCATATCAAGGAAAACATTTTTATTTTATAACGTTATAAAATAGTATGTTTTTTTAATAAACGTTTCTTTTTAATAATAAATTATTATGCATCGGTAGAATTATATTATTCGTGAATAAAGTAATAAAAATAATGAAATATAAAATAAAAAAAAAATATTAAGTCTATATGTCACTTTCGGAATTAAGGTATGGTATTTATTCAATGTTAATAATACATCTTAAATTAAATTAAATTTATTAATTAAAAACTTTATGTTTCAATTATTTATTATAATTGTCATAAGTTCGCATTACTTACTTATGATAAATTTGAATTTTAATTGATGTTTTTGTTTCATTAATAATTAATACATAAAAAATTTACCTGAAGATTTCATTTCATCATAAGCTCTATTTCTTCTTTCGGCAAAATTTGTAGACCTTTTTTCAATTCGTTCTTCAAGTTTTTGATGTTTTCTATCTGTTCCCAGCATACAACCAGATCTTTCTTTTGTCCTTTGAGCAATTAAAAACTTTTTGTCGCTTTCTATTTTCATTAAATTAAGAGCATTAGCATGTGCTATATCAAAAATATCATCCAACTTATTTACAAATTCTTCTTCTTTTTTTTTATTAGCAGCTAATTTTCTAGTGGCATGTTTTTGTAGGTTTCGCCATTCATTATACAATGATTCAACTTTTGCGGTTAAGTGATATTCTTCTCTAACTGGAATACGCGCTTTTTCCCAGAATATAACAATTTCACGAACAACTAATTTTGCACTATCATGAACATTTAATTTTACATTTCGTACGTTAAAAAAAAGTACACTTAAAACTTGTCTTATAGAAGGTAGCTTGCTGCCAACAATTTAATTCGACATGTTACCAATTAAAAATATTTTACTAGATTCTCTGAGGTTTATTTTTGATGATGATGCTATAATACAGTGTAGAGCACTTAACAAGTTGACTGGCAAGATTTTTGTTACTCAATGTAAATGTGAGTTAATTTAATGCTCATACCAGTCAACTTGTTAAACGGCCGATTTTAAAATTAGCTTTTCTCGATATTAATTTCAGATAAAAACATTTGATGAATACTTTTCATGTAAAAGTAACATGCCATATAATAATAATGTAACAGTGAAGCTGTAAACAACGCGCGTTTGCCATAATATCTTTTTACAAAAATAACGATAGTTATGTGGTTGCGCAGCGTTCATTACGTGTACATTTCCACCTTAAAAGGCATGATCCAGTACAATGATACCGCCCCTAGCCATTTCTATACATTTTATCGTTAAATTTGATCGCTCAATCATTTTACAAGTAAACCAGGGCATATTATCAACCGTTTTTCTAAAATATATTAATACAAATAAAACACCAATTTTACAGAAAAAATAAATTAATGACTTCTATATCATTTTTCTTGGAAAATAATAGACTTGAGAAAAATGTTAAAAGAATACTTTTTATTAAAAATGTTAATAGCTACAATTTAAATTCTGTCCATTTTTACAATTAGTGCAATAATTTTCTATCAATAAGCAAAAATAACTCAGAAAACGACTTGTTATCAATTTTCACCCCCTTGGGGGTACCTGAAGGGGTTGATTAATCATGGCCAAATTTTACTCAAATTACTTTTTTGTAATAATGAACCAATTGGGAGGGGGAGGTGAGAAATGAAAAATATTTATAAAAAATTTTCTCTCCTATAAATAAGGAACACCCGAATATAGATAGACATATTTTTATAATTATATTTTGAAAAGTTCAGAGTAAATTTAAAAAATATTGATATCGATTATAGGGAATTCATTGAAAATATTATTAATAAAAATATAGTATAATATAAAAAGAGCTTAAAAAAATATATAAAAAAAGGTAATAAATCATTACAGACGCGGGTCTCATTGTAGAGAATGTTTTCAAAATTTAATATACACACAGAGATTAATTAATCGAAATAAACCCAAGACACTATAAATGATTGTTAACACTGAATGAAGAAATCACCATAAGATTAACTAAGTCAACTACGAAAGGAAATAAAAGTAAGTGCAAATATTTATTTGCATGCTTTAATTCTTAAAAACTCACGTAATAAACAAGAATAATAATAAGGGATTTCTATAAGATATTATTATAAGAAATTACCTAGAAATTATTAAAATTATTTTTATTTAAGTGATCTATTGCAATAAAAAGGCAAAAATATAGTGAAATTTCTGATAAATTTATAGTAAATAGTAATTATATAAACTACATATTAATCTTAACAATATTATTATTTTATTCTCCTAAAATTTTCTATTTAACAACGTAAAAATTGAAGTTGACATTAAAGATATGTTAGCAAATTCAACTTTTTTTTAATATAAACTATCAAAAAATCAACCTAAATATATCAATAAATAGGTGAAAAATGATATTTTGCATTTATTATTTTTAAAATATTAAAAATCAATATATGTAATAATTTAAATATGTAATAAATCATTTTAAAAGAAGTATTAATAACTTCTATGTAATTTGTTGTTATTGAATTTGTTGCTTAAATGTTACAAACTTATATAAGGGAGTGATACCGTAATTCTTAATTAAATAAATTACACTTTCATAGAAAATAATATTAGGATTACTCTATTATTTTTTAAATAAACACTGAAAATATAAATATTTTATAAAAATGTATATTCATAAATATCATAATAATTATAATTATTATAATACATGTTTATAATTATAATAAAAATTATTGATATTACAATAAACATTGTTAAAAAGAAACCTTTATAATTTTTTTCTGGTTAAAACAGCTTCTTTATTTTACTAATCATCAAACCTATGCACACCTAATTAATTGTATATACCCAAGTAATGTGATGTCACATTTTTCATACGCCTTAAATTTGATGGATTTAATGCATTACTTATGTGTGGATCTAAAAATATATATATATATATATATATATATAATCGTTATATTGTAAATTATCCTAAAGACTATATTATAATTGAACAGAGTTTCTCTTTATATGTTAAGTTTTAGTGAAATTTTATATTGTAAACACAACTCATTTCGAAAAGACATTATTTTCTATTTTTATTTGTAATTGTATGAAATCAACATTTTGCAATTAAAAAATAATGAACTAAATTTGGGTTACTTTATCTTATTTTGTATTAAAATCATTAATCATTCTAACATATATATTATTTTGATTTACTTAATAATTATAATAACATATATAAGGTGACTCCTTTAATATGGTTTCAAGTATAAAACATACAATAATTTTTTGTTTTCAGAAGTTATTAGTATTCTAAGTTCAAATAGAAATTTGGCCTTAAACCCTCTCTAAGCATCTTAAAATAATGTCAGCTTCTATTTTTTAAATGTAATCATACAAGATGTATCAGATCTAACTAGCAGTTCTTATGACTTTTGATACAATTAAAATTATGTTGTAATTTCATTTTCGTCATGACTCAAGTGCTAAGACATCTAATGATGCGACTGAATCAGTTGGATCATTTTCATGTTTATACGTATGTTAAACATATACGTTTCTAATTAAAAAACGAATCTGTTGCAACTTTAAGGGGAAAGATTTTTAACATTCTCCTAATTACTAAAATAGCGCCATTTTTTTGTTAAACTTTATATGCTAGAATACTGTAAACTTTTGGAAAGAAAAATTATAGTATATTTTAAATTCATTATGGTATTGCATGGGCCATTTTTAAACACTTTATATTTTATAATAAGTACAAACCATCGATACAGAATTCTTCAATTTTTATGCGGCATATTGGACACTTTGGATAATATTCACTTTTATTACTAATATAATCAGCACAGATTATACCTATTCTGTGAAGGCAAGGTTTTAGTACAACGTGTCGAAGTTCTTCTTTGCATGCACATCTTTCTATTAACTCTAAATGTTATATATAAGGTTAAAGTAAACTCTAAAATCATATTTATTTAGTTAATATAATAATACTTAAATATCTTTAACGATATAAACAGTATATCGCTCTAAATTACATTGATTTTTATTCTTTTATGATTAGTTGATTTTCGTCAGAAATTGTAGTTAACGCATGATTATAATATTAAAAATACCTATTCATATTGTTAAATCTATACAAATGTCCTCTATAACTTTTATTGTTATAGTTCTTATAAACATTATTTCTAAAATTTTGGCTTAATTTGTTGTTTCTACATATATTAGTCCTATAATTCATTAGTCTACGCTAATTATGGATTGGATATATCATTAAACTCTGGTGATCTTCTACATAATTTATAATTCCATAATCATTGAATTTACCTTTTTGATTTTTTAAAAGAGAATCTATTTTTATAAAAATTTCTGAATCGCTATTATATTTTCTCATATTTGTATTTTATTAAATTCCTAAAATATTAGGAGTGTAACTACTAATTATTGTAGTTTTTGAAACTGATTTTTTTTTTTTAATGAAAAACTCAATAGTTTTTAGGAAAATTAGTGTCTTCCCACATTTCATTTGCCTTATTGTCCAGATATTGTTAAAATTCATTAAAATCGGACTTACATTGTTCTTTCTAATTTGGATGATTATCCATGATTGATTGCAATTTGAATTTAATATTTTTTAATTTTAAATTAATAATGTAGTATTAATTTTAAAACCAAAGTTATTGTAATTTTGTAAATATAAAAGATATTTTTTTAAATAATTACCTATATTTTTATAACGTAATATTGGTTCTCTGCATATAGGACATTTAGTACCATTTTTTAGTGATAGCTCGTTAGCACAATCATTACATATTTTATGATAACAAGGACTTAATGTTACACTCAATGTTTTTTCTAATCGACAAATACAGCATGTTTGTTCACTGTCTAATGTAAAATATTAATTTACAATTATATTTTATGTAAAAATAATAATAATCGTATGGCTAATGTAAAACAACGGTTAAATTACAGATAAGTTCTAGTTCACCATTGAATTTCATTTTTAAAAATTATAGAATCCAACATACATAGTCTAAGAATTATAATAAAATTATGGGGATTGTATGGGTCTGTTTGTTGATGAAATTGAACTCAAAGCATATTTAAAAGTCTTAAATTAAGTACTTATATTATATTAATATAAATTATTAGATTAGTTTATGTTTATGAGCCCAGATATTTTATCTTATAAAATTAACCTTTTGCATCGAAACTTTTTATTATGATTGTGATATTAATCACTGTCAAATATTATTTTATCTTGACCCATCTAGACTTGCCACCCACGTACTTTGTTTTTTTATGTACTTTTATAAAATTCTAGCTAAAGAAATGATTACAATCTCATTGAAGCGTTTTATGATAGTGATGTTAATGTCAGGTATTTAATGTGTATATGAAAAATAGATGATCCCTTTTAGTAATAATTATTTTTGAATATTTTTTCTTAAAATTTTAGTGGAGGTAAACTTGAGTAAATTTAATATTTAAAAGCTTACCATTTTCCAAAGTATGATCTTGAATTTGATTACAATTTTTTACTGGACACTTACTAGTTTTGTTTTTATTTATACAATTTTGTCCAACAAAATGGTTACAATGTTTCAATTTTTTTACAGAAAGTTCATCGTTGCAGTTTTGGCAAAAATTTTTCACTTCTTCTAAAATTAATATTGCTTTATTTGTAATTAGTTATTTGTTGACGCGACTACTCAAACAACCACTCGCTAAGTTTAATCTCATCTTTATTGGTTATTTAAGTAAAATATAATATTAAATAAGATTTAAATGTGATTTATAAATATATGCATGGATCATCTTTGTAACTATTAATGTTTATACAATAATTATGTATATTATAAAGAAGGATCCTTGTTATTTTCAAACAAAATGTTGAAATGATAAAATACAATTTCATTTAAAAAACTGAAATTATAATGAACTAACAAAAGTCAGAATAATCAATTTTTTTTTTTACGGTACGTTTGTATTATATAAAACAATAAATTATTAAATATCGATCTTCTTAAAAATTTTAGTTTGAAATTAATCAATAAAATAAATATATAAATCATTTTTTAAAGTAATATATTTATTTAATAGAGAACTTATAACTGAAATAAATTTAAAAAAATGTAAGTACATACAAGGAAGGAGACGTCTAAACTAACAACTCTTATAACGTTTGATACAAACGTTTGATTTCTCTGTAATTTTTTATTTTTTTTTTATAAAACTAGTAAAAAATAGCTAACATTTTTTATCAAAAACAAATGATAAAAAAAAAATTTAAATGAACTCTCATTTTTCAAAATATGTTAGTTTATAAGACATTATGTTGTAAGTTAACATTTATAAATGTACCAACTGGCTCACGAAAAATCATATCTGTTGACTAAGTCATAACTGCAATAAACACTCTGTATCTGTGAATAGTCACGTAGTAAAAAGAAAAATAGCTACATGTATTGTAATCCCTCGTATATTATACATGTATTTTAATACAAAAATTCAAAACTTTTAAGTGTTATATCTATAAAATGTCTTAAGTTATATTAATCATTTAAACGACAATTACTATAAAAAAAATCTATCATTTAATTAAACTCAAAATATGTGTTCTCATTTGAAAAAATAAAGTTGATAACGTTACAAGGCATTAGGGACAAACTTAAAGAGTATTTTTTAGCTTATAATTAGAGAACATTATGTAGCTAAAAGTTACAAAACAAAAATATTCAAAATTATTTTTATACTGAGAGTAATTGTGTGGGTTATGATATAAAATCATTCTGTATATAACATAAGAGTATAGTATTATAATATAATGGAATAATTAAAAAATTTCCAATAAAAATAAAATACAATCTAAAGATTAGTATTGATTTATTTCTTATGAAGGTGAAATTAATCACGGTTAGATTTCAATAATAAACTATTCCCCGTCCATAGAGTAAGGAAAAAAATTACCTAATCTAAAAAAATCACTAACTGTTAATTTACATTGTGGACATATTTCTGTTTTTGTGTTTAATTGGTAATGTGCACAAGTATTGCCAATTTTATGAAAACAAGATTTTATTGTAACTGTAGATGCTTCTTCTTTGCAAGAGTAACATAAACCGTTATCATCTGTAAAAATATTATATAATTACCATGTTTAAAAATTTTGCATAAAAATAAATCTATATTTTTAATTTATATCTTTAACTAAAAAAAAAAAATTGATATTTAACAAAAAAATGAAGGATTTATTAAAAATGATAAATTTAAGTAAAATACGCACTAATATTTTCGTAATTTTTTATTAATTTTTCGCATGATGAAACCTTACATAAATTTCTCGCATTGAAAGCACATGTTGCACACAATCGGTGTAAACAAGGTTTTAAAAATACTACCGGTTTCGATTTGTAACAAACTTCACATAAGTCAGAATTGCCTTTTACAAAATATTTTATTAAATTATTATAATAATAATTATTATTATTTTTATATGGTTACTAATGACGATTATATTTCTATTGTCAATGCAAAAATTATACAACATAAAAAGTTCAATTAGACGATCTAATTTAAATCTATAAGCAACAACCTATTACACAATGCTGAATTGAAAAATACCAAAATATAATTTATGAAATTTGCTACGAAAAATGTATACTTAGAATTTGAGTATACTTGATATAAATCAATTAATTAATTGTAATATACTAAGTATAATAATGTTAGTTTTTTAGTTTTGTTTATCAATGATAGGTGTTAACTGAAATTATGTAAAAAATTGTAATGTATGAACAGTTTTTATTTTTAATATTAATTTTATAAAAACTTGAATACACTATTATTATATCAAATAGTCTTACCTTCGCGAAATAAGGATGCCACATTTAAAACTGCCACGACTGAAAAATTACTTTCAGCATATAAAAATTTATTTATAAAAGAGACCTACATAGGTCAGTTGGCAATATCTAGTGCTTCGATTTATAAGTATTATGCATTAGACTCGATTCCATTGCGCTATACTAAACAAGTTTTTTCTCTTCTCAACTTTAAATCTTAAATATAACGTCTTAAGATAATGCGTTATTTTTATATAGAATAATGCAATAAATGGAATTAAAATGAAAATTATAAAATTCAAAATGTTATATGCAATTTTCTTATAGTTCACCAATATTTCATAATACAATAATATAAGAATTTATGTAACAATAATTAGTACTTAATTTTANAATATAAGAATTTATGTAACAATAATTAGTACTTAATTTTATTTGATAACTGCTTCCTACATTAACGCTTAAATCTATTCATGAGTTTTTTTTATGTTTTGTATTCAAAAAAATTCTGTGAGGTACAATAGTTATTTTTGACATATTTTGTATGACTACTAAACAAGATTGTTCCATAAAAATATTTTTATAAAACTATATATATCATTTTTCTGAATTTATAGATGACTAATAATTTTTTAGTGTTTCATAGAATCAGCTTTTAAATTATTATAATAATTTTTTTTTTCACGCAGTGTAATATTTAGATTAGAATGATCAAAACTATAAATTTGCCACCTTATAACTCATTTGATGTGTATTGTCAAACAACACTAGGTTTAATATTAGATGCTAATTCGAAACTCTTTATAATGTATAAATTGATTTAAATAATTTTTATAGTTATCTGATATTAATGCTACTGACTTATTCACCAAAATTATAGAAAACGTAAAAATTATTTCAAATAAAATGTTATCATAATTCCATACTTGTAGTTCAAAAATTTAATCTTTAATTAGCAGTTATATTTTGTATTATACTAATATATAATATTTTGATTATTAAAAAAATATTTAAGTTATTATCTTGAAAAACTAAACAAAAATCGATTGATTCAGCAAACTCTAAAAATATAACAGTTACATTATTGTTTCTTTAGTTATTTGTTTAGTTAAAAGATTAAATTTACCAAATGAGAACATCAAATTAGTTTTTATGCAAATAGGATTTTATTTTTAAATGTATAGATCATAAATTTGGAAAGAAATTAGCATTCTTATATTTTTCATAATATTATTAAATATTTTAATAATAATAATATTATAATATATAATATTTTCACATGACTTTTCAAATACCTAACTATATCTTAAAATTCTTACCATTTTTTACTTACAAGTTATTTCACCAGTGAACTATTAACTAGTTTGGGCAATTTCTAAATAATTTGGTCATTTATATGTTCAGCGAATTTTTTGTTCAAAATCTATATATTATTAATGATTTCTTTGCAAAAATTTCAAGTCAATAAAACTTGTACAAATAAATATATAAAAAATTCAAAAAATTGTATTTTAAAATGAGATTAATATTAATTATGACTGCACTTGTGTCTTCACGTGAACACAGCTCAAATGCCAATATACGTGTATTAAAAAGTGTATAGGTTACGTTTTATAAACGTCTCATATAATGAGTATAATAATAAAAACGTATCAAAAGTACAATACATTTTTTTAACTATTGGTTTTGATGGATTTGATTCAATCGATAAATTTTGNATACATTTTTTTAACTATTGGTTTTGATGGATTTGATTCAATCGATAAATTTTGTTAAAATTAATTATTAATTATACTTAAAAGTTCCAAAGAAATACTTACTACTTTTTATCATCGATACGAAGCTAAGAAGATTAATTTTTCTATGATGTATTATTTAATTTTTTTTTTTTGTGTCTGTTACCACTTTTTCTCAGCTCTAACCGAACCAATTTCTTTCAACAATACATCAAAATAACACAAATTATATCTAGTCGAAGACATTACCCTCAAAAATTGAAAAAATTTTCTTCGTTTTCCATAAATGGTAAACAAAAATCGCTAATTTTTAATATTTATTCAATTTTAGCTTTGATGCGAAGCTGAGAAGGTATTAATTTTACTATGATGTGTTTTTTTTTTTAGCTTTGATGCGAAGCTGAAAAGGTATTGGTTTTACTATGATGTGTTTTTTTTATTAGTTTTTTTTTTATGTCTGTTGCCACTTTTTCTCAGCTCTCACTAGACCGATTTCTTTTGAAAATACGTCAAAAGATCACAAATCGTATCTAGTTGAAGACNGATACGTCAAAAGTCACAAATCGTATCTAGTCGAAGACATTACCCTTAAAAATTGAAAAAAAATTCCCTCGTTCCCCGTAAATGGGGGAAACCTACAAACANGATGTGTTTTTTTTATTAGTTTTTTTTTTATGTCTGTTGCCACTTTTTCTCAGCTCTCACTAGACCGATTTCTTTTGAAAATACGTCAAAAGATCACAAATCGTATCTAGTTGAAGACATTACCCTTAAAAATTGAAATAAATTCCCTCGTTCCCCGTAAATGGGGGAAACCTATAAAAAAATTACAAATTTAAAAATCTCTAATTTTCGAAATTTNCTCCAAAAAAATTACAAATTTAAAAATCGCTAATTTTCGAAATTTTTTCAATTTTTTTTACTAAAATGTGCCGTAACTTTTTCAAAAATGAACATATCAATATAATTTTTTTTTTATAGATGCTTGATGTCTTTACCTATCATTTGATATATATTTTTTGTAAATTTGACACTTAACCTGCCAANTTTTTGTAAATTTGACCCTTTATCTGCCCACAGGGGGGGATTTAAAAAGTCAACTTTTTCACAAAAAATTAACTTTTTCAACTTAACTTTTGAAAATGTTCTGGAAGATCTGACACTTTTATATATATCTTAAATTAAAGCTAACGTAATATACTTTAATTTGAAAAAAAAAAAATTGACCTCTGAACTTGTCTTCATGGTGAAAATGGCTATCGAATGATATTTTTGTGTGAAAATTCTCGATTTTATAATTTACATTTTTTACTTTATAATGTTATAATTTTTTGAAAAATGTATGGATCAACACAATTTTTTTATGAGAAATAATATTTTTTAATAATCCCTTTTTCATTCA